AAAGTTGGCAGATATGCAAAAGTATCTTGTGGTTTCAATCTCACTTTCCGCCCATATCAAGAGTTGAGCAGTAAGCTTTAGGTTATTTAGAGAGAAGAAGGTATTGTGTCATAATTCGAAAATTGAAAAATATAACTAAAAGTTATCACAGTTAAATACTGGTAACTATGCTATTAAAATTTTAAATTACATTTATGATATTTAAAATAAAATAAGTAACTATCCTCTTTCAAAGAGACTTTATCCACAGGGTTTTATCGACGGCAATACAGGGAGGTCACAATATCAAAACGTTGTAACGGTATAGAACTCACTATGATTGCTTTCATAACGATATTTCATTAGTATTCTTCTGAATAGAAATCTCTAAATAAAGGAGAATGCTCAAAATGCACTGGATTTTCAGCAATTTTAATATCGTGGGCTTCCATTATATCATTGAATATTAAATTTAATTCACGTCGCTCAACTTAAGATGACAATTATAACATACAAGCTGTTCGTGCTGCGGAATAAAGCGTAGAAGAGAAAGTAGGCGTTACTGTCTTATGTAAGTTCAACATTTCTGGACGATTAACTTTTAAGAAAATGAAAAGTGAATGAATACTTTAATTAAAAACTGGTATTGTTGTATTAAAGTTTTCAATTCTAGTTTTTGATAATTTACTGAAAATAGATAACTTTCCTATTTTTTAGAGACTACAATTGTCCAGTAGGTTTTATCGATGATAATGCAGGGAAAACACAATAACCTATAGTGACGATATAGAACTCACTATTAATTCCAGAATTTTAAAGAAATTATATTTCATAGTTCCTTGGAAGTGCCTAAATAAGGCAAAATTCTAAAAATGTACATGATTTTCATAAAATTTTAACAGTTTCAACCTTGTGAAGTGTGAACTAGATTATATAGTAGCAGAATAAAGATTGGAAGAGAAAGTAGGCGTTACTGTTCAATGAAAATTCACCATTTTTAGATGATTAACTTGAAATGACAACAAGTGTAAATTAAATGCATGCATAAATATTTCTTTCTACTCCAAATTGGAGAGCAGGAACTCATCATTGCTCTTTCTCTCTTCCTTTATTTGTGCTTGACACCATGCATGTCTTGCAGATTACTTTTAATTCATGTGTAACTATCCTTCCCCAATTAGAAATAAAATATTAATAATGCTCTCTCTCTTCCTTTATTTGTGCTTGACGCTTTCTATGTCTTGCAGGTTGCTTTTAATTCATGTGTAACTATCCTTCCCCAATTTGAAGTAAAATATTAATATTGCTCTCCCCCTCTCTCTCTTCCTTTACTTGTGCTTGACACCATGTATGACTAAGTAGTCTTGTAATTTTGAGCCGAAACCAGAAGACAAGGAAACTCTTAAATCAAATAGTGGGAGGAGAAATTTGCCTTCGTTGGACTTTTGACTTTCTGATGAAACTAACCAGCTACTATACTAAACCAAATACTATACTAAATACTACACTATATTATACAAAATACTATTTCACTCGTAATTTCACTCTTTGTAGAGACTTATAGCAATTCAGATAGGGAACAATTTTTATCGCTATTTATTTAGTTTTTCTTTTAAATTTTATTTTCAAAGATTTCACGTTGAAAGTTCAGATTTACACCAATCAAGATGTAATCTCTCTCTTACTATTTTTGCCTGACTCGAGCTGCAGCATATAAAACAAATAAGTAAAGACCCAGCAGACCCAGTAAGTAGAAATACGTTTTCTACGACAATGGATAAATGGTCAATCAAGCAACAACAAAAAAATAGTGCGTGGAGTCCCTCCGCGCGGAAGAAGTTAAACTTCGCTACCTGCGACGTTAATTGTAGAAGAATCAGCAGTCGTAGAAGGATCACTAGTTCTATTCAACGACTCTTTTTCCGTGCTCTGTAATCACGGTAATATTGTGCATTTTTCCCTCTTGAACCAGTGGAAGCGCTTGCGGTTGCCTCATCGTCTCGCCCTGGAAAATGTATTTGTATTAATAATGTATGTGAATGCGTCATAATGTAATTTCAAAAGAAAAACAATCAAGTGATATTCACAAGAGACGTACCTTGACATAACCTTAAATCCGTCGCATTGTTCGTGGTATTGTTTTCACTCATTTTTTACAATTGTTATCCACTAAATTTGAAAATAAAAAAATACTACCCTATTAAATTATCTGTGTATCAAATCAAACTAAAAAAATATTTATAGAAAAACAATACTTTTATTATTTTTATGCTAGTGAGAACCAAAACAATATGGAAATGAATGAGGGAAAACTGTATCCTACCAAGTGATTTCCCGGCCAATAAAAATGTTTCGTTAAACGTTTAACGCAACCTTGTTGGAAGTCGCATAAGAAGTATAACTTCAAAAACATTTAAATTTTACACTTTTGAATCAAATTATATTAAAAATCTCGTTAAAATTATGATTTTTAAAGGGATGCAGCTAAAAGCAAAAATTCGTAATTGTTTTAAAGACTTTGTCAAGAGTTTGTATAGTACTGTAATAGTTAGCGCAAATTTTAAAATCGATTAATAACGAAAAATGAGAAATAAATGGGGAGAATTAAATATTCGATTATTAAAAAATTTATTTAAGGTTTTAAGTTAACTAAATCAAAAAATTTATAATTGTATTCCGTTTCCCCTATTCATTTAGTACTTTATTTGATCCATTTCATTCATTTTCGCACCTTAACTTTCTGTTTTCCACACAACCAAATTTGTCGTCGCAACTAATAAAAGCATTCATTTTAAATAATTCTTATTATTTAACGCAACACTTAAACGAAAATGTAGAGTGATAAATATTGGGAGCATATTTAATTAATATTGAATATATAATGAATTAAATATTAAGATAAAATTTGACTTTGCTCATTTTTATAAAAAAATTTTATAAATATTCATTTCCATAACCAATTCTAACTTAAACATCTATTGATTTCAAAGAAATTTCTATTGAGAATAATATGTTAAAGTAAATAAATTCGTTTTACCATATTAAAGGCAGGAGGTTTAAGATTGAAGTGATAAAGATAATAATCTAAAAAACGTAAAATATGAATTCAGCTTAATTTTTTGAGTTAGCAGATACGTAATAATTCGTTTCTGAAGTCCACTGTTTTTAACTTATGACTTTTGCGTACCCTTTCTAAATTTTATGTAGCGCAGTGTACCACTCATAAAAAAAATGAATGCATATTTTACTGTAAAAAAATTTTTAAATTACATTTTTTGAAATTTTCGTTTGTTGCAAGATATTTCGCATAAGAACGCGTACCCCCGCTGCACGTTCCCGTACCCCTGGGGGTACGCGTACCACACTTTGGGAAACACTGCTGTAGTCTATTGTACCCTAGAGCAGTGGTTCCGTAACAATAATTCCAAAAACCCTATTTCAGTTGAAAAATCACTGGGATTCCGAGATTACGAAATTTTTTTCTCTACATTATACAAAATTTATATTCAATTTTAAGTAATATTGCAGATACAGCCGACAAGGGGGTTTTAGTGGTTAGAAACTCTCTGTTGTCATCTTGAAGAATTAAGTCACTTGCCGATTGATCAGGAAAAATTCTTGATTCATGAGAACCTATCCCATGGTAACAAGAAAAGTAATACATAACGAAATCTCCATAAATTAAACATAACACCTCGCTCTTTCCGTAACACTGATATCTCTATTATTCTAGGGCCAATATTGAAAAATCTAGACATCTCAAAATAGTCGCCCTGGTGTTTGACCTCATGAAATACACATAAGCCAATTTTGAATCCAACTGGGGGCAAAGTTAAATTGGTGGTGGGAATGTTCCTTCCTTTTCAAATATTTTAACCACTCAGAACGAGCTTTCTCCATCTATTTAGCGCAATGCCAAACAGTGCGATCATCAATGTTGTTCATCCCACTTTAGGAACGAAGCAACCGCTTCACGCTCAGGAGAGAGCCCCATTCCACATCATCGTGGTTGGGTTTTCTGCGAAGTTCGGTGAGTGAACTCGCTAATCATACTATAGAAATGATCCTATGAAGTATGATCTTAACTTGTTATCGATTTTGGTAATACTTATATTTAAAATTCAGTAATAATTGTTGGTATATATTATTCTCTGCAAAATTCTTTAATGTGATTTTAGACTTTATGCTTTGTAAATAATCTTTAATGTTTCGCATTTAGGCACAACATAATTAATACATAAAACTATTCATGAATTAATTACTCTTCATTCTTTTAAAATTTTCTTGAGACTGAATGGCGATTGACATACATTCAAAGACGTTTCTAAGAATCTGACAACAATAGGCGAACTTTTCAGGTTACGCCTACTATTGGATTTTACTTTGAGAAAACAGACAAGACACATTGCTCTTAATAGGTAGCAATGTAAAGTAACGCCTATTTCTACTCAAAGTTTGACTCAGGATATGGTCAATGGTCATCATTCCTGAATAAAAACCGTGGAGTAGTTAAGCTAGCGTCTAACGTTATATTTGATGAAATTTTATCAATGCAAATATCAAACCTGACAAATCAATTTTTTTCAAATTTTGAAGATTTATTGCAAAGTTGTGGAGGAAATTACAGACTACAGTAATTAAGAAGAAAAAAACATGATAAACATTAAAACAATTTCACAGCATCATCTCTTCTCATCTCTTGTTCAGTAAAATTAATGTCGATAACCCTTCATCAGTGTTGTAGACACATATCTTTTTATCAGTCAGCATAGTAATAGATTTGCATAAAATTAAATTCTTTTAAAAAATTATAATTCTCTTTTTATTATCGTAATTCCTCTTCTTTTTTTTCTTTCTTTTTTTAGACTTTTATTATAAATTACCACATTAGGATCAATTAAGTTGATGCACTAAAGAATGTGCGACCAAGATGAAAAATATGTGGCAGTAGAAATAAGCCCAGCAAATAATTCTTTTAATAAAAATAAGCTTTCAGCCGTACAGAAATAAGAAGACAATGCCGTATTTAATAAACAAATAAAAAGGAAAAACCACTTAGTATGAATGTCATATTAGTCAATTTATCTTATAATTCCAATTACTTAGTATTTAATTTTTTTGTTCAGAAAAGAACGATTTCTTTTAATCAATAGAATATACAATTAAGTATAAATTCGTTTTTGTATTTAATCACTTATATTTGATTGAATTAATCAAAGAAATAAATTACTGGTGAATAACATATTACATTCTACCTCTTATATTAAAAATTTTATATAATGTCTATTCATTAAGTAAAGATAAAGAGTAGCCCTCTGTTATGGCTGTAGGAAATACTTTTAGTCATGTTTTTTGGTTATTAGACTTACAATTTATTTGTTTTCATGGAAAGTTAATCTATTTATCACATTACCGATTGGGCAATTCCATGATGACTGATGTTACAAAAAGTTTCTTATTTTTTACTCTTTTGTTTTCCTTGATAAATATGTAATATTTTTCAAAACGTTATAGGGGATGCTTTTCAGTAGCCTAATATTATTAATGCAAAGAAAGAGGGATGAAAATGAAAAATGCTTTATTTAGAATATAAAATGTGACTGACGTTACATAGAAAGGACATGGAATAAAAAAATTTTGCTCTTACTTTGAAATTCTCCTCCTAAAAGCGATAGTGGGGTTATTCTTTTAATTAAAAAAAAAACTTTAAAGTAACAGGAAACATTAAAATTACACATGAAAGGCCATATAGGAAGCGGCAAATAGAGAAAAAGCTATTGTCACTGATGTTACAATTTTTATATGACTGATGTTACAATTACAAACTGTATTAGAATTTTCAGGAAATTCATTATTATTACAAAATATTTGAAAGCTAAAATTTTTGATTTTGTTTCTTAAATAGTAAAAAAAAAAAAAAATGTGAGATTTGTTAATCGAGAGATGCTATTGTTTGTTTTTTGTATCATGAAATTGCCCAATAGTTACTACAATACATATTATTTTATTTGGTGAATACACATGTAGATCATCCCTTCTCACTAGCAGAAATTTAAAAAAAAAAATTTTTTTAATGCTTCTTTCAGATTTGTATTTTTTTTTATCCCTTTCTATTAATAATATTTAATTTAAAGCTCAAGTAGTTTTTGGTCATTTAGATTTATTAATCAATACTAATTTTATTTGTTGACTTATTTTGGTGTTAATCTTGTACCAGTAGAGGTCAATATTGAATTTTTTTTATTTGATGGTGCCCATGTATACAAAAGTCAAAAATTTGTACAAAGACGTAGTTTTTCAATCTTTTTATATAAAAGTTTAAGTGCAATGTTAAGTTACTTGTATCCATTAACAATTTCTTTACCTAAAAAATAATTTTTACTTGTGACAAAAGGAAATTTAAGCGTTAAGTGCAAGAGTACAAAAAATTAGAAATGCCTTGAAGCTTTTATGTATTCATTGCTTCTTTTCTTTTTTTATGTATAAATCAGGGCTCGAAAAACCGCCCGTCCTCGGCGGTCAAAAATTCCCTGCGGACAATGAATTTTTCGAATCCGACGTCCGCGCGGTTGGCCATTTTCCCGTTAATGTTCGTGATACATTTTCAACTTTTATTATCTTACAAGATTGATGTTTTCTCTGTCCGGGAGTACTGCAGAGGTTGAAAAGGACTTTTCAGCAATGAACTTACAAAAAAACACATTACATACTGGTCTTAAACAAGAAGCGTTAAACACAATTTATGAACATCTACCTAAATGGAAAACCCTTTTCAGATTTCTGTGCCGAAACCTCTGTAAATCATTGACTTGATTGTGGAACTGGCAAACGTCATATTTGATTCTTTTCAAAAACGCAGTACCCTCGGATGAATTGACCTTTGTCATTTAAATTATTTCATAAAAGAAATACTAGGTTACTATTAGTAACCTAGTATTTCTTTTATTACTGTATATTGTAATTCTAGTATTTGTAATCCTAGTAACTACTAATTCATTGTGCAATTTATATAAATGTTTGTAATGAATAAGAGAAAATTATATTTTTATTTATTTAGAAGCTACGGGTTAGTTTCAAAGGAGGACGGGTATATTGTTGGACAGGCCGTCCTCTGGGACGGGTAAAATTTCTGAGTTTTTTCGAGCCCTGGTATAAAAAATTTTTTTTGTAAATATTATATATTATTATGTACAAAAATGTTTTCCTTTTTAATTACCTTCTGGTATTAATCTCCATTAAACGCTAATTTTACGATTAACTGACACTAAAAGCTAGCTAACCAGTTAATTTAGATGAAATATTTTCAATTCTATCATTTTGAAATAAAATATCTTAATATTTATGAAACCTCATCTTAGTATGTATAAGAGATGAGACCAGCTCATAATCTGAAATTTTCAGGCTTAGTCTAGCTTATGATAAAATTGTTATTGCCTTTCTTATTACTTAGAAATTAAACAAAAATATGAAGCATAAAATAAACCTTTCATGGGTTAGGCTCATTTGGTTTGATTTTCGATAAAACCCATTTTAGATTGTGAAATTCTTCGCTTCTATTACCTGTTTCTTGTAACTCTCTTATTTGTTTGTTTTAAATCATAGAAAATTAACTATTTATTTATATGTTAATAGAAGCAAATTGGACTCTATAATAATAATCTATAGGAGATCCACCTGTAAATATTAAGAAATAATGAATTGTATTCAATGACCTATCTAGATTAAAAACAATTCTCTATCAGCAATAATCACCTTAAAGATAATCATATTGTTGTAAAATTTAAAAGAATTATTATAAAGAAAAAATAACTTTTGCAGGTTCCACTGATATTGTGTTGTAGATACAGCTTGTCACCAGCAGAAGAAAATCATGTTCTATAATGTGAGATAATACTATTTTTTTAACAATTTTTTAAATTATTTGATTATTTTTTTTTAAAAATTAAAAATAACTTAATGAAGGTTTGATAGAGAACTTTTTTGTTTCACTGCAAATTTAAATGCAATGTAATTCTGTTTCTATAACAGACTGACAATTAATCTCAAAATAATATTACAAAATCCTCATTTGTTATTTATTTTTATGAAACTAAAAGATTGCTGAGCTTATTTTTTATGTATTTGTAAAAGATTTAATTAAGCTTGGTATATTTTCTAATTTTACCATCTTTATAGAATTCTTGTCTTTATACTTTATCATTATTATAAAATTGAATTAAAAAATTTTTGCCATAGAATTTCTATTAAATAAGGAAAATTTCTTTTCATCTTAATATTTGTGATAATAGATAGTTGCAATAAAGAAGAAAGCTTTGTCAGAAAATAAGGATTTGACAAAAAAATTAAGGCAGTGGCCTCGTGAATATTAAAGTTCTCTATAAAATTATCTGTTGTAGTTTATAGCATATAATTTAATGCTTGTATATTTTTCTTATTATTATTGAAGTTTTATTTTTGTGTCTACTTTCTTTTATTTTTCAACTGTTTTGAATTTGCAAACTGTATGAGAGAGTATTTATCTTTATAGTGAGAGAAATTTTACATAAAAAGATTTGGATCTTCTTAACTGAAGAAGGCAGACATGCTTAATATCTATTTCGTAGAAAAATGATTTATTTTAGGATTAAGATATGCAATGAACATAATAATTTATTTTATAACATTCTCTATTATTTAAAATTTTAAAAAAAGTATTTGCTAATTTATTTTTCCACCTTAAAAATCTTTTTTTTTTTTTTTTTACTTTGCTATTTAATCAAAAGTGTTCTGATGCAACTGCAAATAAAGTGTAAAACAGTTTTACAAAACTATTAAAATATTCAGAGATATTTTGTGTGACAAATAGCAGAATGATTCCAACTGTCCACATAATGTTTCTGTATTCATTTACAGATTTTGAATTATTCCAACTCAACATATGAATAATAGTTCACCATATTAAATTGTAATTTATGAAAAGCAAGTCATTGCTCATTTTTTTTATTTCACAAAAATTTAGTTTTATTTAAACATAAAAGGTCTTATTATTCCATTTTAATAAGATATAAATGCTTAATATTTTTTATGCATGGTATGTAAATATTCTTCTTTTTATTTTAAAAATACTAATAAATATTAGTAAAAAAAAACAACTTTTTTTTTTATATGTATTACATAATATATTTTGTACTAAAAAACTGTTAATATAGAACTTTTCATGCATTTGATCGGTCTCTTAATCTTAATATAATAGCTTCAAATTTTCAGTAGAATTTTAAAATTTAATTTGATATAATTTTGCTAGTATGCATGTTAATCTCAGAAATTATTTACATATTTTTTTTTTGAAACTGTCTAGTGTACACTCTCTTTTATTTAATTAATTTCATACTATATTTCTTCCAGGTAATGTCACTGGGCTGGAAAGTAATTAAAACATTTACTAAGAGAAGTGTGGTTGCTACGGCTTATATAGGTTATGTTGGTTGTGTCCTTCACTGCACTCAGGAATATCTGACCGATGTTGTGATTTGTCAGGGACCTTCTATGGAGCCCACCCTTTTTTCACATGATGTAATATTGACTGAACATCTTTCCATCACGAGGAAAAAGATTAAGAGAGGTGATATAATTATTGCTAAATCTCCTTCAAATCCTAGAGAGTACATCTGCAAGCGTATCAAAGGCATTCCCGGTGATAAAATTAAAAAAAATTTAACTACACATGTTGTTCCTCTTGGTCACGTCTGGTTAGAAGGAGATAATCACTCTAATTCTACGGACTCTAGAACTTATGGCCCTGTACCAATAGGGCTTTTGAGAAGTCGTGCTTTATGTAGGATTTTTCCTTTTGAAAGAGCTCAAATGTTTTCTAAGACTTGAGTCCATGTGCTGTGTAAATGAATGCTTGTAAATGTTTATCCTTTTTAGTTGATAATAGGCAAGTTTTCTAATGTGGAACCAGAAGAGCATGCTCCATTTCACTTCAACTTTCTTTTTTTTTTTTTTTTCAACTTTCTTTCTTTCTATTTTGTAAATATTCAACTTTTCAAAATATACAGTTCATAGTTTCTCTGCGACATCGTAAATCTTTAGTTAATTTTAATAGTTATTCTTTCAATATTTAAAATAATTATATAAAGGAAACTATAACGATATAGATTTTAAAGCTTCATGAGTAATTAAATTAATATTTTTCAGAAACTTAGAATTGAAATTGTGTGAATAAATGGTTAAATATTTTTGATTCTTTAGTAGCAAATGGTTGAGTTTTTTAATGGGGAACCAGAGGAGCATACCCCAATTTCCTTCAGCTTTCTAATTCGTAAACTTTCAACTTTTCAAAGTATGCAGTTCATAACTTTTGTATGACATTGTAAGTCTTTAATTAATTTTAATAATTCTTTTCTCAATACTTAAAATAATTATGTAAAGTAAACTATAACAATGCAGATTTTAAAACTTCACAAATAATTCAATTCATCCTTTCCACAAACTTAGAATTTAGTTTCTGTGTTGCATAAATAAATGGTTAAATATTTTTATCCTTTGGTTAATAATGGGTGAGTTTTGCTATGTGGAACCAAAGGAGCATGCTCCAATTCACTTCAACTTTCTATTTTATAAACCTTCAACTTTTCATAGTATGTAGTTCATAGTTTCTGTATGACATTGTAAGTCTTTAATTAATTTTAATAATTCTCTTTTCAATACTTAAAATAATTATGTAAAGTAAGCTATAACAATGCAGGCTTTAAAACTTCACAAATAATTCAATTCAATTCTTCCTATTTAGAAAATTTGGATTTATTCCCTCTGCTAATTGGTTTTCACAAATTACATTAAAAAATTATCGAAAATTTAAACTTGCTCCCTGATTCCAATTTTTATTACAAAAAAAGTAATATTTTCTATCCTAATGTTTCAAACATTTTATTTATCAAAGTTGTTGGTCCTCCTTGGCAATAAACCGAGGAAAGAAAAGGCTGTTATCTTTGTTTTCCAGCATTTAAACGGTTTGAACTTTTGCCTCTCTTTACATTTGGCAGAAGTTTTAATTATTTGTAGCATAATTTTTTCAATTGGATACTGGCTTTGTGTTATAGTACTCTCCCAATATTTATGCTCGTGAATCATTATTTTTATTGATTGAAGTGTAAATAAATAACTGAACATTAAATCAAAGACATATTATTTAAATGTAATATTAATTTTGAAATAGTAAAATAGACTACTCAGTAAGTTTACAGTTCTTTAATTAAATTTTTCTAAAATTGATCTTACATACAACTTGTTACATACTGCATGATACTACTTGTCAACTTTTCTCCTTTTTTTAATGTGTTGCATTATTTTATTCCTTCTGTATTTAAACCAGGCATAGCTTTTAACACTATTTAATTTTGTTACCTTAAAGTATACTTTATGTTTTAAATCTCATTTATTTAGTCTGATGCATATCAGCTGCATGTTGCTCTTATATTTTTGAACATAAATTATGTCTAGGAAATGAAATAGGTATACTCTTTTACACACCTTGACAAAAACTAAAAGAAAAAAATCTGTATATTATTGTAGTGAAAAATTTCACATAAGCATGGTGAATTTTATTTCTATAGGCTTTGATCACAATGTTTTAATAGTGTCCATTTGGTTAGCTAAAGTAATAAAGCTAGAAGTACCCTTATAAAAAATCTTCTGTGCATTTATTTTTTTTCTTTTCCTTTTTTTTTCTATTACTCTATTTATATTGTTTGAAAACTCTACTTTTAAAAAAAATGTGTGAGGTTCCAGTTTAGTATCTAGTCTGTAAATCATGCCTTATAAACTAAAATATAAAACTTATCTACATGCCTGTTAGATTGTCTTTACAAGAATATCAGTTTTTAGACTTCATGAACTCATTATTTATTATTACTCTAATGTTCCTAATAAATAAATTATAAATATTTTTTAGGCTTTTAATTCTTTACACTTTTCTTTCTTTATTTATTTAAGACATATGTTATAACGAAACTAATCTTTGGTAATATCCGTTCCTCACAAACTTTTAAGATAACCTGGTTGGTAGGGTATGTTAAAGGGATCGTGGGTTTGATCCCTACCGGCCAAAGACTCCCCATGTAGTAAATGGTGACTGATGCACGCTAAAGCTGTCGTGTCACAAAGTCCTCCATTTTACCTCTGGATCAATACCTCTGGGGGTACTGATCCAAAAGCTCCCTCGTCTTTTGGATTGGGATCAAAATTACAAGGATGCGAAGTTGAACATTGGTAGTCGTAGACCGAGAATCCGGTTGACTGTTCAACGACGGTTATAAAATCAAATATAAAACTTTTAAATTAATATTTAAATTTTTAAACCTCCCAATATTAAAAAAATTGAAAAAGCTGCTGCTTTGGGTGTTCAACGTTACATTTTGTTTTGATTTACAAAAAATGTACTGGGAATATGATGATATAAAACTAATTAACATTTGATAGTTGTTTCCAGAACTATTAACTGTTAAAATTGTAGTAAAAAATGCCTCGCCAGTGGTTCTGCAGTTCACAAAATGACAACCAAGAATTGAAATTTCTCAGGCTGAAAGGACTCTTTTTATTTGGAATTTCACCTTAGCTTTTATTGAAATTCTTATTCATTTAAATGTTATTGCTATTTTTAAAGCTTTTTTTTAAAAACTTTTTTTAATTTTTTTTAAAATAATAAATATTTACCCATTGTTTTTGAAAAATTTATCTCCCTCTAGATCTTTATTTGATTAGGTTGCACTTTAGTTAATGCTGAAAATAACAAACGAGAATTTTCATTCCCTACGTATATGTAGGTTATATTGATATTCCATGTTCTTTTTTACAATACTGACTCAAATGTGTGCTTTTTTTAAGACATTCACAGAAAGGGCAGAAAAAATAAAAACTTATTCTGACTATATTAAAGACATGGGAGAAATTGTTTCTTTTTCTAAAATGGCAAAACTCATTGAAATCATATTTTATGAAAATGATAAAAACTATGGTTATGGTAAAAACTATATGTAAAATTAACTACTGTGCTGTGTGCCAACCTTGATATTGCTCACAGCATTTTCGAACTTGGAGATCACGTTCAGCTATAGGATCCGACTGTGCCCAAGATTTTTGTAGATTGCATGCTTGCGGGTGTTGGTGGATAATCAGTACAGTGGTGGATGATCATTACAGTGGTGGGTGATCATTACAGTGGTGGATTACCATTATATCGTCCGACATGTAAGAAGTTATGCAGAAGATTAAAAAAAGTCAATCGAATGACAGGTAAGGGAATTTATCATGGCCAGAAGGCTGCCCAACGCAGATCAATTTGCACAACGACCAGTACGGCATTGCTTATTAATGCCTTTATTCACCTGAGACCATGTTTACTCTAGTACTTAGGACACCAGATGAGTTATGGAACAGAGTACTCTTTGCGTGTGAAAGCAGATTTTATATGACATCCTATTCTGGACACATATTTATCAGGAAAGAGTGGGGAAATACACAATTAACTTTTCAACATCATCAAAAGGTGCATGTATGGAAATGCAGTGTTCTCGTTTTAGGTAGATGCTTGATATCCTTATTGAAATTTCCAATGTGATTCAGTCATCGATCTGTTCAAATGTGCCCGAATAAAGTTCCTTTTTATTTTTTATATTTATATCTATTTTTTTATACAGATTATATTGCGTCTTGAGGATGTTGGCAGTATAATTCGCATCGATATAGAAAAGTTGTGCAGCGTGTCAGTACAAATGTAAGCAAAAACAAATCTCGAGCTCTTGACCTTTTTCGACTTCCCGTTAGAACGTAAACAGCTGCTTACTACAGCTTATTGTACGAGGCGATATTTTCAAGCAGATAATTTTGTTTTTAATAAATGAAGTTGATAACATAATTTCTGAGCTCAAATATGCTGCATTTCATTACACATTAATGTTGTTAAGTAATTCTGGAGAATTTAAAGTGAAAGTTTGTTTTAGTTAATTATCGATGTATTGTAAAAAAAAAAAGGCAACATGGTTGCTATATTTAACTCGCTTTTTAAGCATTCCTGATTTGGCTTCTTTTGATTTTTTTTATTTCTATTTGTTCTTGTTGCAAGCAGTGCACAGTACATATGTTAGTTATAGTATTTAGTTACAGTAAGAAGACTAGGTTTACTTCGCAAATTTTTTTTAAAATAAAGGTTCCCACCTAACCTGGGAGTAATCGCTCTAAAGGGGGCGACATGGCTCCTCAGCGAGGCGATAATCATCAGGGGGCGATGAGTATTCAAACGGAAAAAAATGCAATTAATAATAAAGAGCCAGCGAATCGCTCTTCATCTGGGTCTCATCAACATATTTAGCTGAAAGTAGATTTAGTTCGGTCGTCCAGCTTCTCACAAAACAAAGAAGTATGTTGCACATTTGCTTCAAATGAGACCTACGCGTAAATCTAACGAACATAAAGCCTGATATTCAAGCTTTAACTGAAATTCAAAAAGCACAAGGCAGTCATTGAAGAAATGAAAACAAACAATTGAGTTTTCAAATTTTCAGTTTTTTTCCCCATTAACGTTTCCAATTTTTCCAGATTACATTAAAAAAATTTATTTAAAAAAATTCACTCTTGTTTCAGTTATTTCGCTTCAATTATCACCTCTTTTTGGAGGAAAAAAAAGTGAAAAGATACACTTTCTTTTCTTATAAAATTTTCTACAAGTGACTGGATAAAATTGCTTCATTATTAACTTTTAATTTGAATTTAAATCAGGTATAATTTAGCATGTATTCAAATTTACTGATGCTCACTTGCAACAATGTATGTTTTTTTTTTCAATCAAAACGAGAAAAAAAAAATGAGGGGGCAATAGATGTCAGCTACCTTTTAGAAGGTGCGGTGGGCAATAAACTGTTGGGAACCACTGTTTTAGAACTAAGAACACATTCTACATAGTGAACACGTTAGAGCCGTGATGGCTCCGGGGATAGAACGATCGCCTTCCAATAAGTGACCTGGTTCGAACTCCAGCAATGGCTGGTAGATGCGAATTCCGCATCCGGCTTGTACCGACCACAGTGCTGACGTAAAATATCTTCAGTGGTAGGCGGATCATGCGTTAGAGTCCCATTTCCGTCAGTCTAACCGTGTGAGGTTTCCCTCGCCATGTAACGCAAATGTGGGTTAGTTCCATCAAAAAGTCCTGCACGAGGGCAAGATTCTCACAATACTTGATCTAGGAGTTCTCTTGTCTTCTGGACTGGGTTCAGAATTACAAGGTTAAGAAGTTCAACATTAGTAGTCGCTAACCCAAAAATTTGGTCGGTTGTTCAACGACGGTTATAATATAAAATGGTGACCACGTCGAGCAAAATGTCCTCAAAATATGCCAGATGCTGTAATATGGAAATATGGACGGTAAAGAGACTGCACCGCTCACTGGTGTCCATAAAAATGTATCGTTCTTGGATTTTACACACCAAAGTATTAGTTATTCCTTCTATACAAAATAACAATCATGAATATTATCAATAATTTCAACAACATTTACCTTTTTTGAATAACTGTCATAAAATTTCAACTACATTAATATTTGAACTGTGAGCAAAAATGTCTCTGCATTTCTACAGCGTTGAAAACCACATCAAATCAGTAAACATCATTATAAGTTTATGTATAATGGTTTTCAAAATAACTTTAAAACAAATTTTTAACGCAACAATTAAATTATAACTTTGCTGCGACCTTAAATATAAAATTAAATTTTGTTGGAAAGTTAAAAGATTTGCAGTTAGTTTTTGTATTTTAACAATATTATTTTTATTTTATTTAATTTGTGGGTTTATATCCTTTAGTATAAAGGTATTATACTAAGTTTGCCACACGCCCTGAAATCATCCTTTTAGACGAAAAAAAACTTATTCAAATACGCAACAGCATTTAAATATTTTTTTTACTGAAGGAAATTTTTTGTGTTCAAACTTTTCCTGTTTCTTTTACTTTTATTTTATTTATTATTATTTAGAAATAAAATTTTATTTTCAATGAGCTAGAATTCAGGGACCAATTTATGTACGGAATACATGCAAAATCCTCCAATGTGAAATGAAAATTTTTTTTAATGAGTTTTCCCTGTTATTTTTTTATTTATTTTTCTGACAAATTCCCTTACTTTTTTTTCTAAGCTAACATCATACTTAAATTTCAAAAAATATTTTTTGTTTAAAAAAAATTTAATCTCAGTTAAAATAAAAACAATGATTAACAATCAACAGTCAATGCTTTTCCGAAAGATATTTAAGACAATCTAATGCAAAACACGGACCTATTATTTTATATTTCTTTTTATTTTATTACGCCATTTAAATAATCATTTTTTTAATAAGACGTCACGATTTTTTTTTTAAATGCTTGTTAACTAATAGACAAAATGTTCATGCGATAAGAAATAAATGATAAAATCTAATATCAGTTTCTACTCATTATTGTACATATTTGACTAACTTACGATAACGGAAGTACACCATGCATGTATTATCATATCATCCCCATTCTAAAGTGATGGTGCTATTCTGTTATTTATGGAGCCTCTGAAGAAAAAAAGGAACTAAAAAGAGCTTGCACACTTTTAGATTGCAACAATATTTATCGTTCATAGTTAAAAATAAAAAAAAATAGCAATAATAAATAAAGAATGTCGAGTTATTAGCGTCGCGGCTGCTGTTCTAGAAAATGTTCGCCTTGCAAACTTTGTTGTGAACACGTTTTTTTTTTTTTTAAATTTGTTTTATGCTTCTGATCTAATGATCATATTTTCGCGTAATAAGACTACTCAATCAAGGTTCGAGGACCCCACCTAAAATATGCTAATAGAATAGCGCAGGCTATATTTTAAGTTTCGAGGTCAGAAACAAAAATATTCTTTTTCCAAAAAATTTTGCCTTTTTTCCCCAACGGATTTGGATTTCAGACTCCCAAAGTATTGGGGGGGGGGTGCCACAATGTGGGAAATATGCTCCCAATAATTAGGGTAGAAGAACGGTTGAAAATATAGCCTTAATGTTAATTTTATTTTTTGCATATTTCACCATGATATCTCGAAATGTTTTTAAACGAATCGAACATTTTTTGTAAGTAATTATAAAATTCGTTTATTCGAAGATAATTTCATGCAAAAGATAATGTTTTTTTCGCTCACTATATTAAATTAAATAATAATTACTTATTAAAAATTATCTTATAGCATATTTCCCACATTGTGCCCCCCCCCCAATACTTTGGGAGTCTGAAATCCAAATCCGTTGGGGAAAAAAGGCAAAATTTTTTGGAAAAAGAATATTTTTGTTTCTGACCTCGAAACTTAAAATATAGCCTGCGCTATTCTATTAGCATATTTTAGGTGGGGTCCTCGAACCTTGATTGAGTAGTCTTATTACGCGAAAATCTGATCATTAGATCAGAAGCATAAAACAAATTTAAAAAAAAAAAAACGTGTGGGGAAATTTTTAAAAAGAATTAATTAATTTTTAAAAGAATTAAAAGGTTAGTTTTCAATTTTCTAAAAAATTCTAGAATTTATAGGCATAAAAAAACGAACTGGGAGACCAGAAAATCGCACTCGCTAACAAAAAGAATGATTGTAAGGAGAGCTTGTCAGAAAAAAAAGAAACTGCAAATGAAGTTAGAAATTTTAATTTACCATGTTCATCAAGAACTGTTCAAAAGATGTTAAATAAATATTCTCATCTTTTTTTATATATATAGAAAATTTGTGTCACGTCCACCTCTTACAAACCATCATAAGAGAAGAAGAATTAATTTTGCAAAAGTAATGCATTTCTGTTTGTTAAAAATACTGATATAAATTTTTCTGGTTAAAAAAAGTATAATCTTGATGGACCTGATGGTTTTTGGTACAGTAAAACTTGTGTAAGTTGACCACTTGTGGTGCATTGTTTTAGTGGTCAACTTAGACAAGTGGCCAACTTATGTGTCATTGTTTACTTTTTCGCTGCTATAGATGTAATTTTTTTTTTTTTACTTGACTTAAAAAATTTATTCAGAAAATATGCAAATGAATATCTTAAGAAATGCGTTTAAACCTGAATGAACTTCAATTTGATACATATAATTCTAATATTTAACTAATTTTTTTTAAAAAAATTATTTCGTTAGTTATGCATGTGAAGCGTTTAATAAATATAATTTCTTAAAATATCAGAACACGAGAACATGCAATTTGAAAACTTTAACAAAATAAAATTATTTGAACACTTTAAAATTTATTTACTACACTTAAAGATCAAAGACCATAAATAAAGGATCAAAGCATATTTCAGAGCATTCATTTATTCAAATGCTCACTATTGCGACTGGAAGAGCAACTTTTCAACTAACATACCTGTTTTCAATGAACGGATGAAAGAAATGGTCAAAAGCTGACCCCTTACAGTTTCCCCTGATGGTCAACCCACAAAAGGGTTTAGATTAGCTTTTTACACTATTTCACCAAACAAGTGAAATTTTAACACACATTGCCAAAATGACAGAAAATTTTCTGATTTTTTTTCCTGGTCAACTTATGAGGGTTTTATAATAGAATTCCATAATACTCCTAGACAAAATTGACTTATTTCAGTGGTCAACATACAAAAGATAGACAGGTGGTCAAGTTTCAAAGGTTTTGCTTCTTTATATTGTATAGGAAAAATTCCGTTCCTGATAATTGAAGTCAACTTATGCAGGTGCCCAACTTACAAGGGTGATCAACTTGGCAGGTTTCACTGTATGATCTGAGAAAGACTAAAGAAATATTTTACGAACGTATGGAACAAATAGAACCACTTCAATTGTCTTTATCAACAGGAAGAATATGTTGATAGGTTAGAACAAAGTTTGTTACCTGAAGTGCCGCTGATTACTTCAGAGAACTAAATTTTTCAACAAGATAATACTTCTATGCAAGTTTCTAAGAGTGCAAAACTCTGGTTTGAAGCTAATACTGTAAATTTACTTGATTAGCCGGTGAAGAGGCCCGATCATAATCCAATAAAAAATTTTGGAAACTTCTAGACCAAGAAGTTTATAAAAATGGCACACGATGTCAATGCAAACAGGATCTTGTCTTCACTATTAATGATGCTTGGAGAAAAAGAAATTTCCGTGGACACTTTAAAAAATCTTTCAGAATCAATAAACTCTCGGCTTATCCAAGTGATAGGGGGGGGGGTAGTTTTCTTGATTATTGAGGAAAATTTTAATTTTTTTAGAACATATCATTTTGCTTTTTTCCGTGTTTCTTTTAGTGTTAACTTTTTTAGAATTCATATTTTGAAGCCAAAATTTTTTTTCGAATGGCAGGCACTGAACTTTATTCGTTTCGCCTTAGAAGATGCCAGAGGTGTTACTCATTTCGCGTTACCCAGTGGGCACCTGTGAACCAAAGTCACGGAGGCGAGTAACATTGCCCACGCCACACTGCCACAAACCCGTTCATAGGACACACAACAGAGGACAACACGAGAGAGAAACATCCATGCCCAGAGCGGGATTCGAACCCGCGGCCATTGGCTTCACAGCCAGGAGCGCTAACCGCTCGGCCATCTGGCCGGCAATTTTGTTTTTATGCGTTATAAGTGTTATCACAAAATTTTACAACAGTAGTCAAACATATGAAAGTTTCATTTAGATTAAATGAAAATAAAGCATATTTTAATTCAATTTAATATTATCCTTAAACTTTTTTTCACGCATTGTAATGATCGAATAAATTTTGAATTGGAGGTATTCAAATTTCTGCATAATTTTAAAAAATATTTCAAGGTTGGGAATATGCCGGGAAAAATAGATATGTTTATTCAGAGAAAGTATATGTTTTGTGTCTGATTTCGTAACTTAAATTATCGTCGAATCTATAAGGTGATCTCTCGAGCCATTAAGATTGAATCTTAGTATGTAAAAATCTGATCAAAAGTTATTCACATTGTTTTGTTTTGTTCGCTGTACACCAAAGGCATATTATGCTAGCATAAGAAAATCTAACTCCTTAAATAAAAATTAATGTTATAAAATTTAATTTCACAAACGCACATTTCCATACATTAGTGCAATGAATTATAGTTGAATGCTACATTTTATGAAAAATGAAGTTTAAAATATGAGAAAATACTTAAATAATAGTTCACCATCAACAGCTCGCCCTGTCATATGAAAGTTCTATATTATGAGAATAAATGCTTCTTATTATACATTCAGTTGAGTATATTATACATAAGTCATTGTAAAACGTACTTTAAAGCTTTTAAAAGTCCGTGTGGAATCGAAACAAAGCTGCGTGCTCATATGGAATTGTTCATATCTAACAGAGAATTTATGTTAAGCTGATCAAGTTGTTCTTGGATGGAATTTTTGACTGGTTCTGTAATTGCATCCGCTAGTTGCAATTTCAGTCCATTGGTAACCAGATTAATAACAGACTCCATCACATAATCCCATCTACCCAATCCTTGGAGGTCTAACCATACATGACGAATGCCTTTCACATAAAAGTTATCCAATTCCAGGCGACTATCAGATTCCATGTTTTGTTTTAACTTTATGAAACCCTCAACAGATTTGAGTTGAATTTCCATACGGCCGCTAGTTTCAGCACCCAAGATTTTAGCATCCCACAGATAGCTTCCAGTCAAATTCTCAAACTCAAAATCAGCTTCGAAAATGAGGGAGTTATTTGCAAATACAGTTATAACATCTCCTTTCTTTTTCAAAGTAGATAACCCATACAATGTGCCGTTTGTAAAATCAAGCTCTCCTCGAGTTGTTACAAATAACATAGACCTCTCGAATGATTCTTTATATTCTGGGAGTAATAAAGGCTCGAGGCCATTTTCAGACATCAAAGCAGATGCTCTTTCTAGAATGCTGTCAACGATATTCCCAGATTTTGGATCCAAAAAGTCTTCAGGTAAGTTATTAAATATCACATTATCGAACTGGTACTTAATATACGAGCTTAATTCGCCAAGGAGAGTTGGTTTTAATTCACCTAATATCAGCTCGCCTAATTGGTTCAAAAGGCTATTAGAAATGCTTCCCCAGGTTCCACCTCCCATCAAATTTTCAAACTGCAATGCGATTTTATCCACTTCACTGTCCATTTTAATGTCATCCACTTGAAGTTGACCATTAGAAGAGGCTTTCATGACTGAATGTCCTCGTAACGTTATTGATGACATATTCATCCAAAAAGGTCCTTCTCCGGACAAAGGAAAGAATGTCACCGTCCCCTTCAGATAATATTGTCCGACGATGCTCAACATGGGAAGGGACATCTCGGCAGATAAGTTCATTTTTGAGAAGTTAATCGCTATTCTGTCGAGTTGGAATCCTTTTAAACCGTACAAGGACAGGTCTGTAAACTGTCCAAATATATCAGTGATAAATCCACTACTAGATATGTTGAATGGCTCCAGAGAAACTGGATCATCGACATTTTCAGCCAGAAGAGCGCTCAAATCAACAGCTCCTGATTCAGATCGAGCTTGCCTTAAAAAGTCTTGTATTCTAGCCATAGGATTTTCATTGATTTCTCGAACTTTACGTATGTGTTGTATCAAATCTGTAAAAAAGTTTTCAATATAATTATTTATTTCGAAAATCAAAATTATAACAACAAGAATAATTAAATAACTGTTTTTAAATTATGTTAAGAACAACACGTATTAAGGTGCAGTATAATATATACGACTTTCTGGAAAGAGAAAATGAATGAAAAGATCAGCCGGATGAAATGGTCAGCTAGATCTACACACTTAAACCTTGTAGATCATGTCGAGGACAACTGGAGCACGTATTCTCTATCTGTAAACCATCTACAACCAGAAAACAACATTTGTTAAAAAGGGAGAATAATTGTCGCTGGAATTTTTTAAAATGCTGTATTTCCAGTCCGAAATAAGATCTGCATACTTTTAAGAGGGCCCACAGTGCCGGGAACAAACTTGGTTTTTGTGCCCTCTTACATATGATCACAGTTGATCCGCACTTTATTTTCAAGTTCAGTTTAAATATTATTCAAATTAAAATAAACCTTCTTAAAACAACAAAACTTGTTCATTTCATAAATTTTCATTCAATTTTTTAAAAAAAAATAAAATTAAACAGCGTATGATATTAACATAGTTTCAATTACATTTAGATATTTTTGATCATGTTTATTGCTTTTGACATACTTAGTTGAATGATATTTTTTAGGAAATTTTTCATTCAATATGTTTCCAACTTGTGGGGGGGGGAAGAAAAAGGAAAACCTGAGTGTAAATCGAATAAAAATTTGGATAGGTTATGGGTCCGTATATCATGGGTTAGAATGTCTTTGCCGTTTACCTCAACCATGGAGAACTATCGAGCTTTTCCTCTCAATGTAAGGCTAGTTTATCCCAATACTTAATACAGGAGTTCACTTGTCTTCTGGGTTGGGTTCAAAATTTGAAGGCTACGAAGCCAATTGATAGCCGTAAACCGAAAAAATGGGTTTGCTGCTCAACATTGGTTATAAAATAAAAAATAATTATCATTAAAAAGATGTCGCAAGCAGAAACTTAACTTTTATATATTTGAAAGCGTTACTAAAAAAATTATGCATATTTTTTGCAAAAATAATGTACTTCATTTAATGAGAGTTCAAAAATATCATTTACGTAAAGTTTAACAGCTGTCCAATTTAAACAAAGAAAGGCTATTCTTGCCAATAACAATGGTTGTTTGTAGCGTGGAATTAGCAGGTTCGAATCCCGTCGTAACCTTGGATGCACCTTCGTGCTGTCCTTCTCTAAATTGTACAATCTCTCTTTCAACTCGACAAAGGCTTATAAGCCGTACTTATGTATTTGAGAATTAGAAGGCTGCATGTGTGTACCTACAAACAGATAAAACAATTGTTGCGATGCCATTAACTTTAATAGTTACTCACCTAAAAAACTTCGAAATTGATTATCTTATGGAAATCTGACGAACAGCCAGCATCCGAACACCAAAAAATAATAATGCTGACGTGGAATTGCCTAACACTGTAATTCTTCCTGTTTAGTTAGAAAATTCTTCACCTTCTTCTTAGAGATCTGATTTATATATATATATATATATATATATAATATTGATTTTATAAATAAAAATAAATAATAAAAAGACACGTTTTCTGAAAATAAAATTTTATATTATTAATATATTTTATTTTAGTTTATATCATTTTTTCTCAATTGTATAATTATATTCTAATTATGAAAAAAGTTGGAATGCCGCTTTTAAAAAGGCATTCCAACTGTCATTCTTGAAAGAATTAAAAAAGGCAGATAAGCTCTAATGAGCTAAAACGACAAGGATGATGACAACTATGTAGAAGTAATTCAGATATATGAATTTAATCTAGAAAATAATTATTGATTTCATATTTAGTTATTATATTTAAAAAGATCTCTATCTCTTGTATATCTAAGAAAATATTTTCTGACTTTTCATTTTTTTTTTATTTCATTTATTTATTCTTTTCAGCTTATAATTTGTTTTAAATTTATGAAACAAAGTGATTAAAATGAAGAATATTTCATCTGTATAACTGAATTCCTATTTATCTCAGCAATAATGAAATCATTTAATGTTTTCTAGATAAAATAACGACCGTTTTGAGATAGTTGTTACTATTATAGACGTCACTCCTTTGTTAAATAGAAACCAACTAATTTTTTTTTAAATAAAAACATAGAAGATTTTTTTTAATCATGATTCATATACCTAAGTAAAATGTGCTTTAAAACAAATAAATAAAAATATTGAAAAGCGAAAAGCACTATAAAAATATTAGTATAAAAATAATTAAAGAAAATTGCTGTAAATTTTGAAAATAAAAACGTTATTTTTTTCCCTTTCTTAGTTAAAAATTCAGTTAAACTTTTTTTCACATTTGTGCGCTGTTCACTTTATACCTCTAAAGACATTAAGTGACATTTGTCTCTAGAATCAAACGATTTTACATTAAACGTTCTGATAACCTACTATCGTTCATTTGGTTAAAATATCGTAACCTTGACAAGCAGAAACGGCGCACTCCGAAAATACAGCAAATCTGTCAAAATCTGACTTACGAAACGAAGCGGAACAACCTAGTTCTATTCCACTTCCTTAGTTAGATTTGCTCAAAAGAAAAATATGTTGTAAGGCTTATATTTTAAGGAAATATTATTCTAAACTGTTAATGAAAAAATGTTTCATTTCTCTAAGAATTCGGAATTTTTTTTTTTAGTTGTTTGAGCTGTGGTCAGAACTAATGAGGTATAAGTAACGAAACTACTGTAATAGTTACTTTCATACGTAATTTGCAGTCGAATGCGTTATTATTTTATAAAATAATAGTACAGTGAAGTAGACGGAGGTAAAAAAAACACCTGATCATATCCATATCCTATACGTATGTATGTTATACAAATGTTTACAAATGATCAAAATTAAAAGAATACGTGCATGTCATAACAATGAAATGGAATGTATGTTAACTTTCGATGCGCCCACGATACTAAAGTACTCTCGGTGTAGTTTAATTTTTAAAGCTAGTTAAAGAGTTTACACTTTACAAAGCCACAAATATTTGATAATTTTATAGTATTTCTTGATTTAAATATTCGCTTTCGGGAAAAGACATAACTAGTTTAAAGAAAAGAAATCATAAAGAAATGGTTAAGAATAATAAATTTTCTCATGAAAACATTAATAAATAATTTTTTTAATTTAAACTAAATTTTTAGAAATTTTTTCTACCTTCAACTTTTTTGGGGGTTTTAAACACAAGTGTAAATTGAATCGTGTTTTTTCGACTACTGAGTTAGAGGTACTAAAATTTTCAGAACTGCGGAAAAAAAATCGCTTGCAAATTATGATGATTTTTAAACATCTTTCACATTCTGTAGAACAAATGTTTGAATAACACGTAGCGGCGGCAAAAGTACCAAAACAAATGTCATTTTTGAGTTGCATAAGAAATTGCAAGAAATATTTTTGGAATGTCGACTAAGAAAGTGATTTCCGGTTTCCGAAGATTAAAAATAGCTATGCGTTGTAGTAAATTGTGTTTCGCCATTTTGCAATAAGAAGATCTGAAGTATTCACAGAAATCTATCGTTCAATATAAATATTTCGTGCTTATTATTTTAAATTACATAAGCAATTTATTTTGTTCCCGTTGCTTACTTTTTACTTTAAGTACCAAATTTCAAGAAATTAGTTTAGATTAGAAGATATTAGTTTAGAAGATATTTTATGTACAAATAATATATTGTGAAATTTGACAAGCCTTATTTTCAATTTTTTTTCTTTATAGGTATAGGCTTAACCTGATAATCAGGCAAAACCTTTTGTTCAAATTGTTTTACAATGGGGTCTTTTTTCTTCATAATTATAAGTAATATCATCGCACCTCAAATAATCTACTTGCCGAAAAATGTCATCATACCCATTTCAGTAGTACTTCATGTATGACGAAATATTTTATCATACCCAGTTAACATGTTAAAAAATAGAAAATAAGTGACATAATTTTATCTGATTATTTTAAATTTGAAACCAGAATTCTTAATTTTCAAGTTCTTCGTAATGAGCTTTTCAATATAGTAAGTAGTCCAGATGCAAACTCTTCAAAATCTTATTTATGAAACTGAAACTTGAAAAATGAAGAAAATGTTTAAAAAAAAATTATCGGAAGAAACTGAACCTGTAAAATTTTACTTAATTAAAAAATTTATTGGTTTTAAAAATATCTAGATGGAAATAAAAGTTGGCATATTTCAAGCACTCGAAACCAAAATTTAGTTTCGACTCATTCAAGTCTGGCAAGTCTCGAGAATGCATACCTGCCAACTTTCTATCCTTTCCATTATAATTTTTCCCAGTGGTATTAAAATGGAATTAAAACTTCATTTTTAAGCAAACAAATACGTTGTATTTGAGAAAACTTAAGTTGACAACCATGATAGTAACGCATATTCTTATATGTGCTTAATTTTTGTAAGAATAGTGGTGATCAAAATCATTTAAAAATTAAAATTATAAAAGAAAAAAATAGTATATATTTACTACCACTTTAAATATGAAAATAAAATCTTCCGGATAATCCGGAAGAGTTGGCAGGTATAAGAGTTAGTGCCTATTATTAAGCACTTAAAACATGTCCATTTTTATTTCCGTCTTTGTATTTTGGACTCCAATGAAGAAGTTTTTTTAAGCAAGTAATGAAAAAAATATATTAAGAAGTTTATAACGAAAAATAATTAACTACCTTTTCTTCTGAAAATTCAAATTATTAATTATTTTAACAAACTATTGTTTTAAAGCAGTGGTCGGCAAAGTGCGGCTCCGGAACCGCATGTGGCTCTTTGGCTCCTTAAGTGCGGCTCTGGCACAAATATCCACGGAAGGCGCAATAATATTTTTATTTAAAAAAAAACTTGGTAAGAAAAAAAATTACATCTTATTTTGATAAATTAAAATTCCTCTGTAAATCGAGAGTATGTATAATTTTTTGTTTAAGTTAAAAGACAGATAGGTAATTAAAATTTTATATTGTTGTAAAAATACGTAGCGAACATCGAGTCAAAGTTTATTAGTTTTCGTAAACGTAAACACAAACTATGTACAAGCTACAGGCTGAAATTGTTCGCATGTTTTCGGCGTACTCCGGTGTGATACAAAGGTACCACAAGCATGCGCGCATACTTTTTCTAAATGAGTGGGGGTACAAATTGGCATCACAACACAAGTGGTCTGCTTTGAATGACCTGGAGAAGGAAGACATGATCATATTCAACGCTTGGAATAGTATTCCTGACTCTTACGATCAGCTGAAAAAGCTCGCTTTTGCTGTTCTTTCCCTTTTCGGCTCTACATATATATGCGAACAATCTTTTTCAAGCATGAACATTATCAAGAGTAAACTGAGAAGTCCTCTTATTGATGAGAACTTGGAATCATGCCTAAAATTAAAAACAACAGCATACAAACCTGACTTACTCAAACTTTCCAAGGAGATGCAAGCACATTGTTCGCATTAATAAATATTTATTAAGTATGAAATTTAGTTTTATTTAGTGTACTACTTATTTAGTGTAATAAAAGTTTACTAAACAAGCAGATTTGGCTCCCAATTTCATGTTTGGCTCTTTGGCTAAAAAGTTTGCCGACCACTGTTTTAAAGTAATGTTTTTGTTTAATATTGAATATTCAGTATTCAAGTAATTCATGTTTCCACAGAAAGTTAATACTTTTGCTTTTGTATAACTATAAGAATATTAATGATTGAATAATATTTTTATAAATATTTAGGAATATATTGAGGTCAAAACAATTTTTTTTAATCTACAAAGTATTTAAAATTTTTAAGATGTTAGAGGCCTTTTATTAACCAAAAAAAAAAGAAAAAAAACTTCCATATTTTTTTTTTCAAAAAGAGAATTTGTGAATAGTTTCCCGATGTTTCTAAATCTAGTTTTCGAAAATGTTTCTTAATATGTTCTTCCACTGAATTCTTCCGTTATAAATTATTATTGAGGAGCTCAGTTGAAGAATACATCTGTTTAATTTATTTTCAGATTTCTACCATTTTAAGCCAACCAACACTATTAACTTACATCTGACTAGATGTATCACAGTTTGAAATAGAAATATCCACTCATATACTTGATTTTTCTTAAAAGAAATTTAAATTTATAAAATAAGAATAAATATTATTCAGTTTAAATTTTTGAAACGGCATTTTGTATTTCAAAAAGTACCGTAATGCCGTATCAACACGTCCCCCCCCAACACATCACTTTCTTTGCTATAATAGTGCGAGAAATATTACAGCTGAGTAGGTTAAATAATTTTCGTAAAATGAAAATTCAAAAATGTCACTTATTACTCAGTTTTATCAGTTATTACTCAGTAAATGTCACTTATTACTCAGTTTTATCAGCTTTTACTCAGTAAATGTCACTTATTACTCAATTTTTTTAAGGTTGCCTTGAACCATTAAGAGTGCATCTTTGTAAGCGGCAATCCGATCTCAGATCAAAAGTTATTAAGGTGTTCCATTTTTTTTATTTGAGCCCTGTATTATACGAAAAAAAAAATCTTGTTATCTTTTGCCAATAAAAAAAAAAAGGTTAGCACACCATTGCTTGAGTTAATAAATCATAATTGGGAGTAAATAATTTTAAGCCGAATTTATAATGTAAAAGCGAAATATTAAAGCTTAAATTTTTCTACCCCTGGGAAATTTTTTCTCTCAAAATACTTGACCATTGGCTTCTTTTGCACCTATGCCTCTTCTTGCTTTCAATTTCAATTCAGCAAACGGGATAATAAAATTGCTTTAAGTTTAATATTTTAATCTTTAAGTTTAATATTTGAATATTTGTGTTTAGAATTTCAAAAAATAATAACAATAATAAATAAATAAACAAATAAATGAAAAAGAAAGAAAAGTTTATCTTAGTTTGTTATTCTATCATATAGGCTTGTATGGGGCAAAACAAAAACATATTATGACGCATCAATTTACCAGTTTTCTAGAAGTCAGAGGAAATTTAACGAAATTTAGGTAAATGTAATTTTAATTGTGTGTTATAAATTATTTACTACAAAAAGAATTATAATTTAATTATTTTGTAGTTTATCTGTTAAAATAAAGACTAAAGTGTAGGGGGATTTAATAATTTTATTTTATAATTTGATTTCAATTTAAAGTTCATCGAATTAATAAACATTATTATGTTTTTTTTCTTTTTCTGTTTTATGTGAAAATCATATTGTAAATATATAAATTATATTTTATTTCTGTTTGTGCTAAGGGAGAGGAGTTGTTAAAAGAAATACCTCAATATTCGATATACTCCCTCCTGGCAGCGATCCAAATTTACTGCGCCAATTTTGAAATTACGCAAAAACTTATTACTCTAAGTTTCATTTACGCAGTGATCAAAAACAAAAAACAAAGTGGGGTAGAACTAAAAAAAATTGGAACAGCTTTAAAGAAATTTTTTCGGTCCCATTTTTAGTAAAAATTAATTACTTACTTCTAGTACTGCGTCTTTCTGCCGTTGAAAAATTACCATTATAAATTGTTATAAAAATTAAGATAGTTAAATATCTATATGACATTATTTTCTTTGTATACATTCTCTTCTCTCATAGAAAGGAAAACAGTGAACGACACACACTCTATTAGACGAAACAGTTTCATTAAATGTTTGCTCCGTGAATCAATATTTTTGACCTTTGGGTCATTAAATAGAATTGACCTATGCACACGTGATGGCTTATTTGATAAGGCTGGTGACGTTTGGCTTAGTCAAAATACTCTGAGTTTCTGTTTTATTTCAGTAAACAAAGTTGGAAAGGAACTCAAATAGCTCATTCAATCTATTTTCCTTTTTGTTATATAATTTAATAATGAAATCTGCCATTTTTACGGTCAAAAAATCTTCACAAGCAGTGCTCCTTTCCAATAAATAACCAAGATTTGAAAAGGAATTTAAACTTATACAGTTTAATCAGTAGATAAAATGGTGAATAAAAACTCAGGATTATATTTAAATTTAATTTTTTTGTTGTTGGTGGAAGCGGGCGAAAAAGTTGATTTTGCGAACGTGATGGCACAGCAAAACTCCAACTCAACTCCAACTATCATTAAATTATCATCTTTGTTATTGGTTTGAGGGTTTAGTTTCTTTTTTAACGATTATTTCAAGTAATTTGTGATAACGTTATTTCCGTGTTGTTTAATGTGGAAGAAAATCCCCTTTTTGTTATTTTATTGTTTACAATAGTTGAATTTTCTTTTATGTTTTAATTCTACATATAATATGGCTGAAGGTGTAGAATATGAAATACCTAACCTTGGTATGAAATATTTTTGTCATCAGTGTTCCAAAGAAGTGTCACCCTATCAATCGGTAATTTACCAGTTTTTCAACGACATTCGTCGCCACTTATCTAAATAATTTTGTTTTATAAAGTCTACGCACAACACCATTTACATAAACTTAAACTTTCTAGCATTTCATTTGTTCAGCAACTTCGTGAAATTTAAAACAGTTTTGTAGTATTAAATAGATTTAACCAATTCATTTACTTTGAAATTAAAACATTGTTCAATTTCTTTAAATCAGTTACTTACGAGTTTCAATTTGATTATTTAATAAATATGAAATTATTGACGTGTTATGAAAAGTTTCAAATATTATGAGCATATAATTTAAAAATTACCAAAACATTTTCATGCCTTTAACTATTTCAATATTTTTGTTCTTTTTTTACCATATTTTCTCCCTGGCGATAGTTTAATTTTTTAATAAATTAATAGTTTCAACCATTAAGTAGGTATGTTAAGTTAAGTAGATTTCAATTGGTCTATTTTGCTTTATTTAATAGTAGTTATTTGTAATTAATATTTTAATGTACTACTTAATTGAAAAGTAAATAATTAGAAAAAAAATTTCCTTTCACCCAATAGTTATTTTAATTTTCGATTGCATATTCACTAAATTATTTAATAAAAATAAATTTGTGTGTGACATCAGCACATTCAATCAGAGATTATTATTGTAAAAATTAAGCTTAACCTAACATGTACTGTACATGTAAGCTTTATCTAACATGCTAATATTAAATACAATTCAATAAAATAATACACAAAACTGTATGTGGTTTAAATTTAATTAGAATTTTATGCAACCATTCTTTATCTTTACCTAAAAGAGGAAAAATAAATACTTATACTAAGTCTAAATCCATTGAAGAAATCTAAAAGGAAAATTAAATTGCTATTTTATCATAGTTTATAATTTTATCATAGTTGGCCAGACAGTCCAATGCCTTCATTTGAAGACTTCTCCATAAAGACTTACGATTTATCTTTTATCCCCAGTTCTTTTTATTGATTTAAAAAACTTAACTTACAGATGATTAAAATAAACTTTAAAGGAATTTGATTTTAAAGGAAAGAATGTTAATGGTGTTCTGATTTGTGCATGATTAGTTTTTCTCCAAAAAAATTTATTACCAGACCATCTTTGCATAGTTAGCAGACAAATAAAAAAAAAATTTAAAAAAAGCCAGCGAAATGAACATCAAATAAATGTCTTTTTTTTTTTTCGGGTTCANTTTTTTTTTGGGTTTAATTTTTTTTTTTTTTTTTTTTAAAAAACTATTATTTATTCTTTATAGAAATCTTTTATTTTTTGTTTTATCTTTAATTTTTACTCCTTGGTGTTCATTGCTGGGAATTTTTTCTCAATTTGTTTTGTTTAAAAAAATCTGAGGTCAAAAATAATGTACCACCTATTGTGCTGTTGCTTATTGTTCTTGCTTATTGATTATTAAATTAATTAAAATAAAAATTTTGTCAGTCAGTGTTTATATTATTCACATTCCTTTTTTGATTTGCACTTAGTTGATATTAAAAAATCAGATTTTTTTTTTTTTTTTGGTGTTGAAACAGTGTTTATGAACTTTTTTTTTTAAATATAAATCATGTATCATTTTTTATTTATCACTACTTGTCATAAATTGTAAATCTTATTTTGCTTTTCATTTAATATACTCATTTCCTAGATTTTTTCAGAACTGTAACCTCTGAGTAATATTTATATTAAATTAACTAATAAATATAGAAATGTTCCTAAATTTTTTTTAACATTAAAAACTTTAATCTAAGCTTATTTGGCTTTCATCATGTATTTGTGAATCATTTTAAATTAAACGTTAAAACATAAATTTTGTTGTCCTTAAATAATGTGGCTGAAAAATTCTGCAGGTCTGGTCTTGGTGTCCTTATATTTACAAAATAATGTGATTGCAGTAATTTTTTATATATTTATTTGAAGAATATAGATCATTATATAAGATTAATAAGTAATTCTTTATTTAGATAACATTAGATTTATAAAAAAAATTTTGGAATGATTATTTGAGTTTCTATGGATGGGTGACCTAATGTAAACAATAACAAGCGTCCTTAAACCAGAAGAAATTTAGAAAATTTCCGGTGTATCCCTCCGCTTATGTTATGACTACGAGGTGATGTGTGAACAAGCCTAATATTCTATGCAGTTTTGTTATTGAAATTTGGATTCAAATCTAAGCATAATTGCACCAGTCATAAGAGCTTTCAGAAATGTATTGATTCTCAGAGGTCGTAAGGCCAAAAAAAAAATTGGAAAGTTAATATCTCATTGTGAATAATTCTTAAGGTTTGCCATGTTTTGTATATCAATTAA